CTTCCTTAAGTTTGGGCACTGAGTATTTTGTCTGGGCAATAAGAGGAAAGTAACCAAGACAATCTCTTAAGCAGCTGTTCTTAATTTGTGATCACAAGTTCTGCCTGTTGAAAGGAAACAAAGGCATACCTCCCCAGGTTTAAACCTATCACAAACCCAGTAACCAAGACCGAGCTAAACAGCTGCCGACTACTTTGTGATATAATGACAGTTGTTCCAACTGAAAAGTCAGAGTGTTTGCAAGAGTTATAGAGAAGTCTTATGAAATGTGAGCACAAACAAGATCGTTTGTTTTCTGTTTTGTGTCAGCCAAGCCATCCACCGCATGCAATATGGAAAGTTCCAAATTAAGATTGACACTCAATAAACGTCCCAACCATCCTCATACCAAGGCAGCCCCTCCCCAGTAGATGATCCCATTACTAATTAAGCAAAACCTAGTAAGACACCGATTTATCAGAGCAATGCTGGTAATGACCTATGTCTTCAAATGCAAATGGAATCCAAGTGCAAATGGTTCAATAGTCAAAGTCCTTCTAGATGCAAAAGTTGCCATTTCCTTTCCCTGAGTGTGCACTTTATGTAATGTTGATCTGGGGTTTCATAATACGAGCTGTCCTGTGGTAAGCAGTGACTTGTCTACTGATGAGCCTTAGGCAGATGTATGAGTACTGCCTCTCCTTGGAACTAGGACAGCCCGAGTATATTAAAGTGAATATTCCTTGCTCTGTAGCTCTGGAAATTATTACAGCTCAACAGCACTAAGTCGCTGCTCACAAGGCTGGTAGTCAAGAAGGAAGACAGATAATTCAGAGCTTCGAAAGTTTCTTATTTATTAATATTTCTCTCGGTTGCAAAATAAAACAAATAAAAGGAAAAACTAAAAATGGCTGGATAATTCAGGTGACAAAATGATACATAAAGTGTTCTTGTTGTTTAGTTGTGTGTGCTAGGTGAAAAAAAACTGTATGTGTACACGGGGTACATTTGATAAAATAAATAAGGCATAAATGATAAAGAGAATTAACACTTGATCCTTTTATCACCTATGATTGCCTCCCAAATTTGCTTTTAATGACCAAATAGAGGAAAGCGTATGGATGGGTGGATAAATGATAGAGATAGATAGATAGAGGATAGATAGATAGATAGATAAGTAGACAGACAGACAGATAGAAAGATAGATGATAGAAATAGAGAGAGAGATGATAGACAGACAGATAAAGATAGATAGATGGATGGATAGGTAGACAGAGAGATAGATAGAAAGATACATAATAGAGAGAGAGAGAGAGGGAGAGAGAGAGAAACCTAGATAGATAGATAGAGATAGAGAGAAGGATTGATGCGTGGATGGATGGATAGATACATAGATAGATAGACTATAGATAGATAGATACATGATATATACATATATATAGAGATAGATGATAGATAGATAGATAGATAGATAGATAGATAGATAGATAGATAGATATAGAAAGAAAGATGGATGGATGGATGGACAGATAGATGATAGCTAGATAGATAAACAGACAACTAGAAAGATACATGATAGAAATAGAGATAGAAAGATAGGTAGATAATAGAGATAGAAAAAGGAATGGATGGATGGATAGATAGATGGATAGATAGATAGATTACAGATAGATAGATTATAGATAGACAGATACATGATATATATATATATATAAAGAGAGATAGCTGATAGATATAGATAGAAAGATGGATAGATGGGTGGATAGATAGAAAGATACATGATAGAGATAGATAGATAGATAGATAGATAGATAGATAGATAGATAGATAGATAATAGACAGAGATGAATGGATAGATTAATGGATAGATAGGTAGATGCATAGATAGATAGATAGATAGATAGAAATACACATACACATTATAGAGAGATTGATAGATATAGAAAGAAGGATGGATGGATAGACAGGTAAACAGATAGATACATAGATAAATTTATATGTAATAATATATCTTTGAAGAAACACTAACATTCATTCATGGCCACAAAGGATGGAGAAATGTTTAAAGTTAGCTTTTCTGGAATGAAGCACAAAGAATTTGATCTAGACCATCCTAGAATCCAGGAAATGCTAAAGAAATTTTGTTCAATAAAGAGCAAAGAACATAAAGTTTTAGCTGGATAGAAGATATTTCATCAAGCTGATTAGAAAATTAATGCTGATAACACAAAATGAAGAGTTATAATTGTGCACATTGCCACCCAGGACAGCTGAGCCATAAAAAGTTGCAACTTCCTACTGAAAATATTAATACATGAAATGACCCTTGTTTTGGGGGTGGTTTTTTGTACTGGGAATTGAACTCAGGACCTAGTGCTTGCTAGGCAGGCACTTGTGCCACTGAACTATATCCCCAGCCCCCTGAGATAACCCATCCAGATTTGGTAACTGGGAAATATTCCTCCAATGCTCATAATGTTATAAAACTTTTTTTAAATGGATTTTCCTGTTTTATGTTCTTTTCTAATTCCAGTTTCTAGACAGCAAAAAGGAGTTCCAGATCTGAGTGAACCTCAGCATACACATACCATATTTAGGACACCTGTGTTAGGGCTACATAGAAGGATAAAATGAAAGCCTGGTCCCATTTGAACAGCCCAACATGGACTCTTCAGCTGGTAGATCACTTGAGGGGCTTATTTTAGGATAAAGCAACAATTGGATAAGCAGTGGATCCCAGCATAAATTTCCAAGGATTTGTACAGAATACGTCAAGGGGCTGGCCCTGTTATTTGGACACACACTAGAAAAGCAGTGAACAATGATACAATTGATTAGAAAATTCTAGAAGTCAGTCTGGACACTTTCAAAAGTGCTAGAGAACATTGCTTTCTGCTTTCCTCAATTTCAATTTTATTTTTTTACCACCCAAGTAATATGAGAATTTTCCTAGGCTGATTTAACTGGGCTGAAGATGCCTAACTTAAAATAAGTCAACAGATGTCAAGGACTGTAATTTGTTTATTTATTTTTAATTTCTATCAATTGTTCCAAGAGAGCATGGGCAAAATTTTAGTATGTAGACGAAGGGCATATTATAGCAGATAATGGCAGAAATAGCCAGCTGCAGAATGAGCCTCAGGAAGAATCTCAGATCCTGGAAAGTTTCCTATCCCTTAGGATTTCTGTGGATTTCAAATGAAAAGAATGTGAGGGCTTCTGACAGTCCCACTCATCTCAAAGACTGACGGAGATGACATTTTTCAATAATTACTTCTGTTCTCCCCTGCACTTCGTATTAAAATAATTTCTCCTCGTGTCCACAGAGTACTGGTCCAGAATGGTTCCCTTCTGTGAGCCAGGCCTGGTAGCACACACCTGGAATCCCAGCACTCGAGAGGCTGAGGCAGGAGGTTCGTTGTGAGTTCTAGACCAGCCTGGGCTACAAGGTGAGCTCCATAAGGGGACCCTGTCTCAAATACAAACATACACCCACCCACACACCCACACACACACCCCTTCTGTGGGTACCGGAATGTGTGTACACTTGAGCTCTTACGTGAAATGTCATAGGGTTTGTTTGGAACCCATAACCATCCTCCTGAACACCTTGAATCACAACTCCCTGTGTGCTTTCAGTCATCAGCAGGTGGTGCATAACATCCTTCACCATGCATTGCTAAGCAGAGTTGGGTAATCTGAGCAACTACTTTGAAGATTACAATATGCAAAACAGCAACCATTGTTGATTTCCTATCGTCTTGTTTTGAAATTCTGTATCATTTTTAATTTTTTTTTTAATTTTAATTCTCTTTAAAATAAAAAAAAAAAAAACTGCTTTAAAAAAAGAGTTGTAGGGGGCTGGGGATTTAGCTCAGCGGCAAAAGCGCCTGCCTGGCAAGCGCAAGGTCGTGAGTTCGGTTCCCGGTACCGGAGAAAAAAAAAAAAAAAAAAAAAAAAAAAAAAAAGAGTTGTAATATGCTGCTTAGAAAATAGTGATGAGGAACTGGCTTGTACACATTCAGCACATGTGCAAAAATTTTTTCAAGTAACTTTGGGCTGATGTGGGGGGAATCTTGAGATTCTGAAACTGTGGATCGCAAGGACCTGCTGTGTTCTGTCTCGTGAGTGATGCACTTTCAGCAGTGGTGATCAGTTCCCGTGCACAGCCGTGTGATGGGGTTCTGCGGTCCTTCAGTCTAATGTCTAGGAGCCTCAGACATCATACAGACTGGAGGTGCTTTCAGTTTTCATATAACTCTTCACAACATGTCAGGCTCCGTGTCATGTAACCCACCTCTTACCAACCAAGACGACACATTTAGAAATAAGGAACGAACCATCCAGTAAGTTTACAGTGAAGAATCCGTCCTTGCTTTCTCCAATTCAAAGAGCCTGGGCTGGACACTTCTCCCAAGGGATAGTCCAGAGTCCTCAGAGACCCACAGGGGTACTAGGAAACCATCAAATGCAAGACTACACTTGAAGTTTACATAGCAAAAGCTCTGGGTACCACTGTTTGTTTATCTTTCTTTTTTTCTTTCTCTTTAAAATAAAAAGAGACCTCTTTGTGCTCCCAGTGATGGCCAGTGGTCCAGGGATGGCTCTTACCCAAAGGCACATTTTGGCCCCCTTGGAAAATTAGGCAGAGGGTTTGGGTGTGCAGCCCCTGCCAGACTTGACTTCCCATCTAGACAGGATCTAATCCAGTGTTCCTATAAATTGCCACCCAAGGCCACTGCCTGTCTTTTATCTATGCTCTGATGAGAAGAAAAAAGGAAAATCCAAAGGAACATAAAGTGGTCAGACTTATAAAAAAATCAGTGCGCATCACATCCTTGCAACATGCCTTCTGCAGCTGCATGCTAAACTCTCTCCACAGTGAGCCAAGGAAGCCCCAGGCTTCCCCAGTTAGCCAGGGAAGCAATGGTACCCAGCTTATCCACACCCTCACACCCTGCACAGCCCCAAATGTCTTTCTGGCCACGTTGCAATCATCAGCCCTTATTCTTAACACTCACCATGACGTTATCCCGCTGACACAGTGCGTTTTACAATCACTCCACAGGTATTTACTTGGTTGCCTTTTCCATCTTTAGCACATTGCTCCCTGTGAAATAAAAAAGAAACATACTACTGCACTTGGTGAGAGATGGTACTGTTGCAAAAGCAGCTTTAAGTTCCCTTTGAGTTCTTCTATGGGTAGTACAAGAACTAGCTGGTAGTGGGTTACTATTGTTCTTACCAGGTGCCCCAATAAGGCAAGCAGCTATGCAAGAGAGTACTGCTACACAGCCATGCTGAATTTGTCTTCTAGAGCTCACACTTTGAGCACACATGCAGTATGGAAATACAAAATCAATGAAGGAAGACATCTTGAGGTGGTCAATGCATGGTTCACCTGCATGAATCCTGTCAGCCACTCTATCTTTTCTCTAGGCTCAGATGAGCAGAAAAAAGGAACATAATTATCTTCGTAGAAGATAATCAATCCTGTGTGTATTTATGTTAGATCCAGTTTATTTCGATGAAGACCTCAACACCTTTGACAGATTTTTAAGGAGAGCCAGTAGATATCTCAGAAATAATTTATTTGCCAAAAGAAATGCTCAATCAGCAATATGCTCCCTGGAACACTGGTTCACAGTAGATAAGATCTGCTTATCTTGCTTTCTTTGTTTCCCTGTTTGGGCAGTAATCACCAGAGCAAAGTTTGACGTGTTTTGGGGTTATTTTGCCATGGAATCTTTGCTTTCTGGATGACTCTGAATCAACACTATAGATCCTACTTGCAAGTGAGAATCATAACAGGATGAGTTATTGTGTGAGAGACATTTGACACACAAAGTCTACTTTTAATTTTGCCATTTGATATCTCTGTGAAGGATGGCAAGCAGAAGGGGAGGAGAAAGTGTTTGATATCCTTCTCCATTGACCTCTCAACTTACAGAATATTAGCACAGAGTATTTAAAGTCTTTGGGTTCCACGTCTAATGAGTCAGGCTGTTATTAAATTGTCAAAAGGTATTTTATTTTAATTACATTTTCTATTTCTCATAGCAGGTAGTGCATTTAATTATGAATATGCATTTCTTAGATATCGATTAAAATGTATTTGTGAAATGAATTTATGCTGCACTACAATCATAATTGCATCTGCCTTTGGTGACCTTTCTACAGCCAAATGGGGATGTTATTAGCACATCTGTTTCTACGTTTGAAGAAGCTGGTTTTCAGGTGTGAGTTTACACACTAGGTGGGCTATAGCACAGGGAAGCAGATTGACAGCTAGGTTGATCTTGAGTACAGTGATCATGCATGTTTCAGGATTTCAATTTCCCTGCTCACCAGAGTAAATGTAATAGCTACAATAGTTAACATGGCGTTCAGTCACCCGACATTTAATATGTTCAGTGTTTTATAGATATCAAGTCCTTTAATCTCACAAATATATAAAGTATCTGTGAGTTATCACTATTAGTGGAAAAATTGAATGCAGGCAGATATTAGCCTCATTTGCCAATGAAACAGAGATATAAAGAAAAGGCTGAAATTCAACCCAGGGTCGTAATTTTGCACCAATCATGGCTCAGATGTGAGAAAGAGAGCATCATGTCTTTCTTAGGACCCTGAGTTCCCACACAGGAGAAATTAAGCATAAAATGGTTTTCGTCAGTGACAAACAACACTGGTCAAAAAGAGTTCTTTGATATCAGTACCAGTATATACATTAATGGTATCAATTTGAATCAAGGAAACACAGAAAAAAGACACAAACATATTTAAAATGTAGTTAAATCATACCTATCCAGGAAGATAATCAAATTAGCATGAGTAGAGCATGCAACTGACTTTTCAATTAATGCTCACTATTTTATTATGAGTTATTCTTGAAATCAGTTCCATCTCTACTTAATCTGCTCAGGGGGCTGGGGATTTAGCTCAGCGGCAAAAGCGCCTGCCTGGCAAGCGCAAGGTCGTGAGTTCGGTTCCCGGTACCGGAGAAAAACCAAAAAAAAAAAAAATCTGCTCAGACTTCCTGTCTCTGTCCATAAGCAAGGACTCATGCAAAATCCGCAACTACCAAGTTAATCACGGAGGAGTGCTCCAGAAAAGTGCCACAAAAAATGAAGGTGAATTATGTCTGATGAACTACTTTTTTGGTAGTGACACCATAAGTTAAAACTTTATTGATCACTTAAGTTTTGGGGCTTGCTTGACTTTGTTTATAGGTTTATTTAGGTACACAAAAAGATGGCAATGCCAACTGCCTTTGTGCTTGCCTTCTTTTCAGATCTGGTCATTTATTTTCAAATCTGATAGCACAAAATGTGGGTATCATAGAGGACTCAATGTTGAGTTGCCTGTCCTACTTGGACTCTGTGGGAAGAAGTTCATTTTTCCTTGGTGTTTCTGTCAGGGACGACTGTACGTGAAGCTTTTACCCTACATGTCAGAAAACTTTCAACCCTCTCTAGCTCTCTTACTGGATTCCTACTCCTGTACTCAAAGCTAATTTGATTATCTTCCTGGATATCCATGATTTAAATACATTTAAACATGTTTGTGTCTTTTTATGTGTTTTGTTGATCCAAACTGACACCATCATTGTATACACTGATGTATACATTATTGTATATACCGACAGTGCATACTGTACTGTTTGAATACATGTGTAATATTTCTACCAACTTCTTCATTGATTGATGCCTCTGTTTCTCTGTATCTCTGTCTCTCTCTCTGTCTCTCTCTGTCTCTCTGTATGTCTCTGTCTCTCTCTCTGTTTCTCTCTGATTTCCCTGTTGCCATTATGTGAGCACATTTTTTCCACCATGTACTCCCTGTGATGATATTCTTTTACCACAATCCCAAGGAAACAATGAGCAAAAGTAAATGTTTCTCCCTATGAAGTTGATTATGTCAGGTATTTTTTTCATACTGAGCAGAAGATAAGTAAATCAATGTGTGCGCTCACAACACAATCTTCTTCCAGAATGCCTTTGTCTTTTGAGCTCTGAACAATGAAGACAGGTCCTCTTTAATGGCCACGTAGGAAAAGCAATCTTGCTTCTACCTGCCGGCATTGATGGAAAATCCATACTATCAATGCTACTGCAACCAAAGAACTGTGTCTTTGTGCTGATCTGCCGTGTCAGATTCACTGTGCAATGTGGCAAGGCAAATATTTCATTTATTTGGACCTAATTAGAAGACAATTTCTTCTTATTATTTTTTTTAACTTTTTTTTTTTTTTTTTAGGTTTTTTTTTTTTTTTTGGTTTTTCTGCTACATCCCCAGTCCATTAATTTTTTTTTGGTTTTTCTCCACTACCGGGAACGGAACTCACGACCTTGCACTTGCCAGGCAGGCGCTTTGCCACTGAGCTAAATCCCCAGCCCTAGGAGACAATTTCTTATAACAGACAGAATATAAGCAAGGGTAAAGAATAAACTCTCAGTAAAAAAATGCTTCCAGACTTTACTATGAAATTTTAGATTGACAACCTATTACATATACCACAGAGGTGGAGAAATAGAACACCACATGGCTGATATCATAAAATTGATATTGAATTATACTTTATATTTTTGCATAACAGTATATTCTAACATATACATACAACTCCTCATGACATGTACTTTACGTTAAAAAAATAATTTGGCATATATAAAAACATCCTCAGAAACAACCTATCCTATGGATAGAGTAGATTTTAATAAAGAGGGGAGGTAAAAACGAAGCCAATATTTACAAAGTACTAACATAGTAGCCAATGCTGCCATGAAAGTGATTTCTCATGTTAATGGCTGCTAGCAAGAAGAGAATGCACTATTAGTCACAGCATACTCACCTTTTGAAAATCAGAGAAATGGAAGCGATGAAAGCGATATTCCACACTATGATAATGTTTCAAATAAGCTTCTCCATGTAGTTTCATCTTTACAGTTGCAGACTTGTGGGTACATGGAGATATTCGTAGCCATTCCAATTCACCTTAAGGTAGTTGATTAAGAAAGAACCTAGGACATGAGATATAGATACATAAACATTTTCATCCAAGATGGCATTTTTGTTTCTTCTTTTTTTTAAATTACACTACAGGATGTGTTTCCCTTGTTCAAAATTCTTGGTAACAAAAATGTTTTAAATTACATTTACAAAAAATGTAGAATATTTGCAAATATGTAGGGAGAGATTTGGGATGGAGCATAGGTATGACCAAGAAGTTCATTTATGTTTTTTATGTACAGAGACTAAAGGTACATTTAAGTACTTCTAATAATTTTGTGCATGGAGTAAACTTTCTTGGTGTAAAATTCTCCACTTTTTGACATTAACTGAACTCTCAGAATGCTTTATATTTGGGAGCATTACAGATTTCAGATAAGTGGATCATGGATCCTTAAACTGTAAAGAGTTTTTTTTTTCTTTGTGTATCAAAATAATTCTAATAAATATTGTCTGGAAACCCAAAGTCCTATCACTGCACAAGTGTTTGTTCAGCAAAGATCAATGCAAGTGCTCAGATATCAAGCAAGGGGCTGGATGATTCACTTCAAGGTCTTTTAGGGGACATTGGCATGAAAATAAGAGCTCTACATTTTACAAGGTGATCAAGGAATAGAGAGATGCTCAGAAGAGGTAGCAGCTGAGACAAAGTCTCAGGAGATAATATTGAGGATGAGGTCTGGAGGGAAGAGAGAGCAGGGGTGGGTGCATCAGGATGAGCCCTGTGGAGGACTGTTAGAAAGTACCCCAGGATCTCAGAGGTTTGAGTAGGTCAATGTCACCAAGAAAGCCGGGGCGTTGACGTCACTCATGACTAATGCTTGTGTTAAGGCAGATACAGACACACACACGCACACCAGCAGGAAAATGTAAAGTTATTTTTAAAACCTAAAGATAGTTCAGGAGTCCTTTTGAATACACAAACAAATTCCAAAGCCTGTCTATTATTTATGGAGCTTTCTTCTGAGTCAGTGACCTGTTCAATTTCTCCAAGAATATTAGGAGGCGCAACATTAATTTTAATACATTCGTTGGGCACAATAACTAGACTTGTGTGTGTGAAGAAAATTATTTATCTCCAGGTTATAGTGGAACCATTCTCCAAGTCCGAACATGTGCATACAAATATCTAGGTTGACCAAATTGACCGTAACTCATGCCTTAATTTATCTTATCTAAATTTCATCTTCCTTTCTCAAGTAGAAAAATACCCCAAGCATATTCACTTTGAAAAGTTGGGTATTTAATGAACTTACTTTCTCTCTTTGATACTCCATCAATTAATACTTAGAGAATGTTTAACTCAGTTCACGTTTAACATTACGCAACCCAAGAACGCAGGAGAAAAGAGGAACATTTCTGTTTAGAATTTTTTTAAAGCTAAATTTAAAAAGGATAATTAATTTTACGCTACTCTACTTCCCCTGAACTATCCCACATTTTGGATGAACTCTCAGAAAATTAATTTAGGACCATACGGCTGGTTCAAACCCAATGTTCAAAACAAAATTAAATCGCATAAAGTCACCCATCCACTGAGCAGCAGAATCATAAACACGGCAAAGTAGATTTACAGCTTCAGTGCTGGAATGTAAATTATTAAAATTCAGAATCCCTCATAGTCTTAAAGTGTGAAATTTTCAAGGGAACATACATGTTATGTACAAAATCCATGTTAAAAAGTGTAACCAGCATAATATGGGGACAATAACCACCAAAGAAATATAATTTGACTTTTGATGCCTGGGAGCAATTTGCAGATTTGTAGCAATCTCTGTGAGCAGCTCTGGCACTATATTTGACTTTGCATTTTCTCGTCTATTTTGCCAGAACTTAAGTCTCTTACTTATTTAACTTCTGGATAAAAACCTTCTTTTAAACCTCTTCCATTAGTTAGTTTCAATACTCTAGCATGGCTATTGATATTTCCAAAAGAAAATGACAAATGTTTTAAAAATGCCCCTGAGGAGAAAAAAGAAAACACATTTATGAATGTTTTCATCAACATAAAGCAGAATCATCACTCCAAAACTAAATAGTAGCGAAATGTATATCAAACAAGAAGCTGGGTTCCACGAAAATCTAAATTTACAGGATTCTTTAGTGTGTGTGTATTCCTTCAGAGAGAGGTAGAGAGTTGAATTTAGCATTTTGTATGAGAGGTGTCTGATTGCTAATTTATCAATAAGGAAGAAGAAGTAATAGGAATAGACTAAAAGGAACTAGTCTTAAATTTATACTTTCCATAAAAACATCACAAAAGCTGACCATTTATTACAGAAATTAAAAACAATATTTAAAAATATAATCTACTGGGAAGTCACTTTACCCGCTAGGTTTGGAGTTATTCATTCTGAGTCTGTTAAGTTAATAGTATATGGTTTATAAACACACTTTTCCTACAAATTCATCTCCTATTCCCTCACAGAGTATTAAAACTTCCCATTTTGTTGGAGAATCTAATTTGAATCAATCCATGTAGCCGTTCACAAAACATCACCCCATTTTCAATGAGACTTAAATTTAATTTTCTCTGCGGCACATTTTCTGATGTTTCCACTGATGTTAATAGCCTCTAAATAAGTGACAGCTCTCACCAATTTGTCTGCATCTGTAGAGCCTTAAATCAGATTCCTCACATCAAATGTTCAAACGTTGTCATCCCTTCTGCAGTGCTTTCATTTGCAACTCGGTTTTGCCCAATTTTAGATAAGCTAGCTGCATTTTGTTCTCAAAGATACTTATCAGGGATTTTGTTGTTTCTCCCCGCCCCCCCGCTTTCTATTTCCCCTAAAGCTCTCACTTACATAAATCAATTCAATCTTCCCGGTGAATAATGTGCATTCTATCGACTGTTCCTAAACTTCAACCTGATTCTCATTACAACTGATTGAATTTATAAAGTCAATTTTTATTGTAAAGAAAAGCTTTCAAAATAAGGTGGTATCTCTCAGTGCAGTTTGCCTTACACATTTATAGTCACACCAGTGTAAATATGAAAGCTAATAGAATCTAAAAGACAATGACATTCCCTGTGCAGATATTGGCTTGGGCACACCTCATTTTATAACACTGCATCTTTATGAGGACATGTGTGACCTCCCAGGATACTTCTGTCAATATTTGGTAACGTTTCAGATTGTCAAAAATTGGAGACGGAGAAGCTAGTCACATCCAGGGATAAGAGATCATCATCCTAAAATGTGCAGGGTAGCCACCTGCCACAGAGGACTATCCTACAACCATGCCAGGAGTTGTATTTCTGCAGAATAACTGAAGAAATTAGTCACATTTTTCATATTATGCAGAGGCGTAGCTTGCAGAATTTTCTACACACATTTTTGCAATAATTCATCATCAACTGATAGTTCACCAACTCTGATTCATGCACAGATGATTGCATTTAGGACATGCATGCACATATCCACAGGAGATCTTCTTAAAGTGCGGTCTACCTAAGCATGCATAGACAAAATGGCTAACTGTTTATAATTGCATAGATTAGTTTGGTAATTTTTAGCCATTACCTCCCTAAATATGTGCATTGTAGATGGTAACAGAATTAACAACATTTAATGAACTCTCAGTTGGCAGAGAATGTATGTGTGTGCATGTGAGTGTGTGTGTGTGTTTTCATACGGAAACAGAACAGATTAAACTAAGTTCCACTAAGTTCAGAAAGCCAAACACAGGTGATCATATGTAATGACTATTGCTTTTAAGGAGGGAACTGTACCACACTGCCCAGATCTTGTTATAAATATGTGGTTAAGGGGCTGGGGATTTAGCTCAGTGGCAAAGTGCCTGCCTGGCAAGTGCAAGGTCGTGAGTTCGGTTCCCGGTACCGGAGAAAAACCAAAAAAAAACCAATAAATAAATAAATAAATAAATAAATAAATAAATAAATAAATATGTGGTTAACTACCAGGCATGGTGACAAATGTCTGTAATTCCAACCTTCAGGAGGCTGAGGCATGAAGATTGCTATGATTTGGGGCTGGCCTGGGCTGTATAGCAAGACTTGGTCTCAAAAACAGAACTGATAAACCAACACTGAATACTACAGAGTTTTTCTCATTCTACAATTTGCATCTATGTAAAGTGAAATAGCAGTTTCTTCAGTATTAACTCACATGAAATGAAAAATCTCAAGAAATGTGTACAAAATAAGAGATAGAGGTCAGGGATATAGATCAGGGGTATGGTACCTGCCTGCTTCCAGGAGTTATGGATAAAATGAATCCACTTACAAGAGTTCCAGAAATAATGCTCCTTAAGATATACTTAATGACAAATACCTGTAGGCATATTAAAATTTTATACTAAACTGTATCCTAATCTTAAGAGGATGAACTTGCCTTTTAAAATATTAACTTCAAAGTATTGAACTCAGTGAAATGATCAATAGGATCCTATTGAAAGCCTAGTTGCTAATAAGATTATTCAACTTTACGCTTACTTATGCAAAATTCACTAGGATAAGTTCTGGGAAAGAATCGCCCCAGCCATATTGTCAAGCTGTAGGTGTGTGTTTTGGTTCTGCAGAGCAAAGCTGTGGAATGCTCAGTGAAACATGATTCCAGGCACTTTGAAGTTTGGCAGTCAGCTGCGATGTTCTGATAGAACATGGTGTTTTTCAAAGGCGAATATTTATGGCAGCACAATTCTTAATGGCTAAATCATAGAAGTGGCATCTAGGTCCATCAAGGATCAATGCATACCAAAATATGTGGTGTTTCTATTCCAAGGAGTAAGGCTCTTCCAGAAAGAAGAATAAATGAGTCACTTGTAGGAAAGTGGGTGCACCTTGAGACGGTCATGTTAAATGAAATAAGTCAGACACGCAAGCTTAAATATCACAATGTCTCTTTTAGGAGAAGCCTGAATTATAAATACATGGCAAAATAAAAGATAGACAACAAGAAATAGGGAGATAAAACCTTTATAAATGGGAGGCAGACCGAGAGACAGAGGGAGAGGGAGTGAAGGATTAAAATGTGTTGTGTGCATG